AAGTTTTGATTTTCTAAATTTTAAATTCAGATGAAAAGTCTTGTGGCTATACCATTATATGTCTTGGGTTATATTAAAAAATGTTTTTACATTCTTTTATATATATATATATATATATATATATATATATATTTATATATAAAAATTACCAGATTGATTAAATAAAATTCTTTTTAAAAATTAAATATTTCTTTTTTTTATTTTATCCTCCCTGTTTTATTTTTTTTTTACAAATGAATTTTAACTTTTAAATTCCAGATAAACATTCAGGGATTAATATTGAATAACTGACTTGAAGCAACAAAAATGTGGTTTTACTGATGCTGAGAATACCACGAACTGAACATGTGGGCAAGAACAAAACTTTAGAAATCAAGGAGACTTATAAATATAATCAGAAAGAAACACTTGAAATTTCTAGGGCTCCTAAATGAGGAAAGAAGGCTTGGAGAATATTGAAAGCAAGATGTATGCAAAACCACAAGCAAGGTATATAATTATTTATTGGATTCCATAAGTAGAAACTGTACAAAATTGTAAAAGATTACACAAAATGCTACTTAATGAATAAGATTTGTTAGATCATTTGTTAAATCATAATTAATAAAAACAAAATATAGATAAAAGTGTATATAACACCATAAAACTACTGGGCACAAATTATAAGACAAAATGTTTTTAAATTTGCATTGTGTATTGAAAATAAACTGAAAACTGCCGTGTAATATATTACATCATAATATAGCTAAATTGTTCAATATAATTTCCCTTTGAAGTAAATGAAGGTCTTATTTGATGGCACAATGATTTAGTAATAATGTGCTTGTGCCATACATCTTGTCCATATACAATTTGTAAAACTTATAATTTGTAAAATTTATAAAACTTATATATAAATTTTTAAGGCTGTGCTCTAAGGCTTTCATTGATTACCGGAATGAAATTCCAACGCTACGATTGTGAAGCTAAATGTAATCTTTAAACTCATTTTCTCAAAAAACAATAAGGATTTTGAAACAAAATATTTTGTGTTTTTATTTATCATATGAAACCCCAAATTTAAAATTGTGTGCAATACCACGGTTCCAAAGTTGACCTGCCCTAATGATGGTGGCTGTCGACTCGTTAAACCAGTATGACCGTCAGTGATAAGATGATTTTTTTTTGTTCTCCTGAGAACGATGACGGCTCTTGAATCTTGCAAGTGACTTGCAATGCGTATTGCAGGTGTGGAAAACTGAGTTATTTTGTATATAAGGGCCATAATTTTTGCATAAAATCTGTTCAGCTTGGGTTTTCAAGTGTCGATGAAGACCAGTGTTCTTTTTGCTAAAACAATTTTACACATCCTGTACGTTTCATACATCTATATATATATATATATATATATATATATATATATATATATATATATATATATATATATATATATATATATTTGTGTGTGTAAATATTATTGTTATAAAAAATAAGCAGAAACAGCTCTTTCTCTCTCTCTATATATATATCTATCTATCTATATATGTATATAATAAAAAATGCTTAAAGATTTAATATACCATGGAATATTAGTTTTTCTTTTTTTTATTATCCTGAACTCTGTCCTAGACATTGAGTTCTACCTGGATTCTTCCTCTTGGAAATTTTTTTTCTGAAAATATACATGTATGGGTATTTATATATTTTGCATATGTATGTATATTTTCCACTAATATAAAATCTCTCTCTCTCTTATCTCTATATATATATATATATATATATATATATATATATATATATACATATGTGTGTGTGTGTGTGTCATGGGCATGTGCCTGAGTGTTTATAACGTTCATTTTGCCCATTACGTAAAACCATGGTAATTAGTCTGGGGAAAGTGATTTCTTGATGCTATCGGTCTGAATAGAATTTTTATGACGATGGCATCTTTAAAAGTGCCTGAAAACCATATCACGGGTTGACCCAAGCCTTCAGAGCGAAATTGGATAGACGGAACTCTTTGGGGGAGCCGTTAAAGCTAGTGTGGAGCTTTTTGAAGTAACAAGTCATCGTGATGGTTAATATTGTCTCGTTGAAAAAGTCTGCTTATCACGCTCTCTCTCAGAAACTGTTTTCATAATGCTCAGCATAGTTGCAGTATGAACCACAGAACTGGGCTCTTGGGGTGTTGAACAAACACATATGTGTCTGAGCCGGCGTCTGCAACAAGGATTGGCTAGCAACCCTAGTTGACGAGCATCCTCGGATATTAGTGGCCAACCATTATGTATATATGTGTGTAATTATATCTTCATGTCTGTATATGTGTGCGTGTGTATCTATATCAATAGCCGTACATATATGAATGTGTATGTGCGTGTGTGTCATGTCCGGCTCTATGGTGACAGAAGGGTGGAGAGTTATGAATGGTAGCCATTGTTTTAATATCAAACATATTAGCCAACTGCGGAACGCTGGGGGAGAAGAAATTTCACTGGCATCGTGTGGGCCTGTAACAATA